TGGAACATACCTTGCGGCAGGATTCGATCAAAACCTTTACACACGCAACACACTAACTAGTAGATGGGTTATGGTTCCGAACAGTACGCCTTTACTGACAGTAACTCAGCTTAGTGATAAGTCGTTTGTAGGTGTGGGTCCTGACCACATGTTATACACACTTGCTAGTTTGGGTAGCGCTTTAGTTGCTGTACCCAACAGCAGTCCAGCCATTGATGTTTTTCAAAAGAATGATGGCACTTTTGTTGGTTTGGGCACTGATAACCTTGTTTATACTCGAGCTACTTTACCAGACAGCTGGGTAATTTTACCGAGAACAGATATCTTCTTAAGCATTGCACAGTTGCAAGATGGTACATTCCTTGCTGCAGGATTCGATCAAAATCTTTACACACGCAACACATTGACTAGCAGATGGGCAATGGTTCCAAACAGTACACCTTTGGTGACAGTGACTCAGCTTAGTGATAAGTCGTTTGTCGGTGTGGGTCCGGATCACATGTTATACACACTTGCTACTTTGGGTAGTGGTTTAGTTGTTGTATCCAGCAGCAGTCCAGCCATTGATGTTGCTCAGCAAAGTGATGGCACTTTTCTTGGTTTAGGCATTGATAACCTTGTCTACACTCGAGCGACTTTAACAAGCAGTTGGGGGATATTGAAGAGAACTGACATTTTCCGAAGTATTACTCAGTTGATAGATGGCACGTATCTTGCTGTTGGGTTTGACAACATGCTTTACACGCGTATCACATCAAGTAACAGATGGACTATGGTTCCGAACAGCGGTATTCTGATTGGGGTAGTTCAGCTTAGTGATGGATCTTTTCTAGGTGTTGGTCCAGACAATATTCTGTACACATTGACTACAGTTGGGAGCAATTTGGTGGCCGTATCGAACAGTAGTCCTGTGATCGATGTTTGGCAGCAAAGTGATGGCAGTTTTATAGGTGTTATGAATGATAACCTACTCTATATTCGCGCCAGTTTAACAAGCAGCTGGGTTTTAGTAAAGAGAACTGATCTATTCCTTGGTATCAGTCAATTGAAAGATGGTACATTCCTTGGTGTTGGTATTGACAAAATGCTCTATGTGCCCACTACTTCAGTAATGCGATGGTCCATCGCTCCTAACAGTGGTCCTGTTGTTGCTATTACGCAGATTAATGATGGTTCATTACTCGGTATTGGGCCTGATACATCGTTATACACACGTAGTACTTTGAGTAGCAGTTGGATTGTTATCCCGAACAGCAGTCCAGCCATTGATGTTTCTCAACAAAGCGATGGCACTTTCATAGGACTTGGAACTAATAATCTTGTTTATACACGACAGTCTTTGAATAGTAACTGGGTGATACTTCCGAGAACTGATGTCTTCCAAAGTATCACTCAGTTAACAGATGGCACATTTCTTGGTGTTGGTACGAATATGATAATGTATACACGTAATACTTCGAACAACAGATGGAGTATAGTGCCAGACAGTGGTCTTATGGTGGAAGTGATTCAACTTAATGATGATTCACTCGTTGGTGTAGGTTCTGATAACGCTACATACGCTCGTGCCAATTTGACAAGTAATTGGATTATGGTTCAGAACAGCACTCCAGTCATTAATATCTGTCAGTTAAGTGATGGCAGTTTTCTAGGTATTGGTACTAGCAATGTACTTTATACTCAAGCGACTCTATCCAGCGACTGGATCATAATTTTTAGAACTGACCTCTTTCTTAGTATTAGCCAACTAAGAGATGGAACATTTGTTGGGGTAGATACGGATAGAATGCTGTACACACGGACGATCTTGAGTAGTAGATCCGCTATCGTGCCTAACAGTGGCCCGATGTTGAGCGTAACGCAGCTTAGTGATGGTTCATTTATTGGTGTAGGCCCTAATAACAGCACATACACTCGTGCCAGTTTGACAAGTAATTGGGTTGCTGTGCCAAATAGTAGTCCAATCATTGATGTTTCTCAGAAAAGTGATGGCTCTTTCATTGGTATCGGAATTAATAATCTTGTTTATACGCGACAGGCTTTAAACAGTAATTGGGTCATGCTCCCGAGAACGGACGTTTTCCAAAGTATTACTCAGTTGCAAGATGGTACTTTTCTTGGTGTTGGTTTAGATGAAATGTTTTACACGCGCAATAGATCTACTGATCGATGGACTATGATTGAAAACAGTGATCCTATCATTAGAGTGACTCAAAATAAGGATGGTTCGTTTCTTGGTATTGGCCCTGATGATATAGTATACAGCCGCGCTAGTTTGACAAGTAGTTGGAATGTTGTGCCTAATAGTAATCTAACCATTGATATTTCGCAGAAAAGTGATGGTACTTTCATAGGACTTGAGACTGATAATCTTATTTATACACGACAGTCTTTGAATAGTAACTGGGTTTTGCTGCCTCGAACGGACATTTTCAAAAGTATTACTCAATTGATAGATGGTACGTTCCTTAGTGTTGGTATAGATGGTATGCTGTATACACGGAGTACATCAGCTAGCAGGTGGTCGATGGTGTGGAATAGTAATTTGTTCATAGCAGTCGCACAACTTAGTGACGGTACATTTTTGGGAGTTGGCTCTAATAATATGCTATATACAAGCGTAAATTTGACAGGCAATTGGGTTATTGTGTCCAATAATAGTTCAGCTATCGATGTTACTCAGCAAAGTGACGGAACTTTGTTAGGTATAGGCACTGATAACTTATTGTACACCAGCGCTAGTTTAACAAGCAGCTGGGTTGTTGTCGCAAGAACAGATCGATTTACCAGTATCAGCCAGTTGAAAGATGGCACTTTTGTTGGTACTGGTTTAGATAAAATGCTATATACGCGTACAAATCTGACGAAAAATTGGGTCATGATACCGAATACTAATTCTGCTAATGAAATATTACAGTTGAAGGATGGAAGCATTTTAATGGTTGGCATGGATAACATTCTTTATACAGCTGCTAGTTTAAATGGTACCCGAGTGCAGGTGCCAAGCAACGGTTCGGCTATTGGAACTGCACAGTTCAGTAACGGTATGATTCTTGTTGTAGACACGAAGAACATGTTGTACAAATGGGAAAATTTTAATGCTAACTGGGTTTTGGTTACAAACGGCGGTGGTATGATTGGAATAGCAGCTCTCTCAACATAGGAATACTAGTAATCTGGTTGATATGTGCGAGATTCGAGTGGATTCAAGTTTTTTTCCTTTTGTAAATATTTACTATGGTGATGGTGGTGGTGGTTATCAATTTATTTTTTTATACGTTCAGTTTATTTTGCTATTTTTTCTTTTCAGCATTTTTTTAAAATCATACAAGTTTTTTCTTATATATTCACGCATTCGCGATCTATTTTATATGTATTTAGTTAGGCAGATGTTACATTGTATTTGTATTAATATTCTTCGCATACTTTCTGAAGTTGTCGTATAATTTATGTGACACTTAGTATGTTTGTTTATATTAATTTTTCGAAATAAAATCGTTACATATTGCATATAAAGAGTTTTTCAACGGGTGTGAGCGAATTGAATATATTAAGTAATTAGATATTTTCATAGGATTCGAGGAATTTTCGTAAATAAATTTATGATGTGTAAAGATTTGAATTAATAGGATAAGCTTCCATTCGTAATAATCGTCCTTTAGTCTCGGCTACTTCTACTAATTCGCGATTATTCGCCCAAGCGATATTTTCTATGTGATGATTTATGAGACAAATGACTAATTATACTATTGCATATGATACAGACGATTGTTTTATTAAATCTTGATAATTACATTTCAGTGGCGTAGCCAGGATTTTTAGGCTAATGGGCAAACTTCTATTACGTCGAAAAAATTTGATGGGCAAAATGGGCAAAATTTTAGTTGACGGGCCAACAATTTTTTAGTTCCGTGAAGTACTGATAATGGACAAAAAACAAAAAATGGAATGAGATTTTTTTAATCAAACATGCATTAAACTCAGACTCAGATCTTAATCTCGACTTAGGTGTACAGCGCATGTCCCTAATAAGAACAGGTATTTTGACTCCCTTGATTGTTGTGCATTTTTCTCAGCCATTTTTGGCGATAAAAAAACTATCTTTTCAGCTTCGAGTAAACGAGCATCTTGCGCATCAAATGGTACAAAAATCCGCTAATTATCTCAAAAACTAATTGAGTAATTAGCGGTATAATTTTGACAAGTGCGCTTGTTCGTATTAAGTAGCATGTTCTCAATAAGAACAATAAGCTAAAAAATGTTCTAACACAAACATTCTATGTAAAATACGTAGAAAATAAAAAAAAACTACTAAAAACTATTTTTCGTGTCAAGACAACAAAATTTTGTTATACTTCTTTTACAAAAAATGTTCATCATGATATGATACATTAAAATCTAAAGGTTCAGATTTTTTGCATTTACTATAGCTGAGTTATATCAATTTTAAGATCGATTTTTTCGTTCTTATTAGGAACAATGTTCTTAATTCGAACAACCAGCTAAAAAATGTTCCTAATAAGAACATTCCATGTAAAATGCATGGAAAATAAAACTTTTTTAGTAAACGAGGTTTTTTAACCTCTAGACTACAAAATGTTTTTGTGAGCGCATTAAAACATTTTTCTTGACTCGAGTTACAATAAAATCCAGCGGTTGAAGACAAACGATGGTTCCGTTTGTCTTATATAGAGAAAATTAGGTTTTTTCGTTTTGATTATTTTTTTAATTAAATTTTTATTTTATTTTTGATGAAATTTTTCATTGAATAATACTGAAACTTAATATATATATTAAGTTTGAAGGTGGGTGGGTGTGGGTGTGGGTGTGGGTGTGGGTGCGTGGATGTAGGTGTAGGCTTTATTTTTTTTAT